GGGCCGGGGGGCGGCTGTGCCCCCTCCTTTGGCTGCTCGCCGGCGAGCAAACAGGCCCGGGTGAAAGTCCCGCGGGCGCTGGGGCAGCGCGGGCTTGTTTGCTCTGGAGGAGGAGGTGGTGTTTGGCCGCTTTCCCTGCTTGCTCGGGGCGGGGGCTCTCCTCGGTGCGAGCAGCCCCTCAGTAAGAGGGAAAAGCGTATAGTTTAGTTACTTGTGCTCTAGCTGTTTTTCCTGGTTGTTCTGGACAGCACCAACTGATGCCTCCTAGCTGACTAATTACCTGATAGCAGTGAGTGTGAGTTGGCCTGCTCCCAAACTTATCAAGCTACCAAACTTATAAGCAAGGCTTTCCTTTCAGTCTGCTCTCCTCTGCTAGAAGGCTTTTCTGAGTCTGGCTTTCCGTGGTCAGGAACTGCCTTAGTCAAGCCACGGAGGGTGGAAATGAGAATACTTATTCTTATGCCAGTGTTGACCTTGGATTTAGGTAGCTTGTCTTCTCTTCCTAGTGTAGGCCCTGTTGTCTTCCTCTCTCTGGCTTTCTTCTGTTAGACTTAAGAATTAGGGCTTTCTTTCTTTCTTTCTTTCCTGGTTTCTTGGTTGACTCTTGTAGGTAAATAGCAAACCTTGGTAGCCTTTCTCTACTACTGTTTTTTTAAGTTCCTCTGGAAGGCTATGTGTTTCTGGTTGCCTGTCTCCAAGAGAGATGGAACATCACAAGGGCCCCTGTGCATACTGAAAATGCTGTTCCTGACCCAGCTTTTCCCTTCCACAGCTATCTCATGCTGGTGTCATTGGGCTGTCTTTGACCAGCTAAAGCTGCTGTTATTTCATAGCTCCTGCATGTTTCTTGTCCATCCTGAATGTTGCACAGACCATCAGCTTTTACCTGAATCAGGTTAAATTTAAAAAAAAAAAAAAAAGAAAAAAGAAAAGCAATCTTAAAACTGTAGCAAAGTGAAATGAGCCTTTTTTCCTTTTTTTTTTTTTTTTTTGCTCACTGTTTCTTATGACTGCCTTTAGGTGGTTGTTCAGCTTGACTAAAGAGGCAAGGCTGTTTCAAGCTTGTCTAAGGCTTTTCAGCTTTCTGATAGACTTCAAATTTTTCTGTATTTGTAGTATTTTTAGTGTTTTCACTTGGTAAACTAAGAGGTATGCATGTGTTGGATAGAGCTAGCTCTCTTAGGGGAGAGAGATGAGGGGTTTGAGTGTACTTTAGTTTGTAACATAAATCAGAGGTGTGGTGTATGTTTTTGCTGCTGGTGAAATGCAGGCTGGTGAAGAGAGGATATTTGCTTCAATAGGCAGCAGGAAGGGTTTTAAAAAAAAGAAGGAAAAAAAAAAAAGGCAGCTTACCCTTTTGTAACTGCATTGAGGATACTTTTCTACCTTCTCTTCAACAATGCCTTTTTCCCTTAGAAACTTTTCCCTTTTTCCCTTTATGTTGCAGGATCTTATGGTTCTTCTTAACAGCGGTTACCTGCCAAATAAAAACTCTGAGGCCAACCAATCCATGAGTGGGCATCGAAACATAAAGAGACGATGTGGGGAGTCGCATTTGGAATCCCCTGCGGGCTGTGGTCACGGTCCTGCTGCTGGATGTGTGTTAAGCAAGCTAGTTCAGTTGCCTACGCCTCCATTGTCAAAGCACCAGCTAAAACGGTTGGAAGAGCACAAATATCAGAGTGCTGGACGATCCCTGCTTGAACCACTAATGCAAGGTTACTGGGAATGGTTAGTTGGAAGAGTTCCAGCCTGGATTGCCCCAAATCTGATCACCGTCATTGGACTGTTAATAAATATATGTACAACTCTGCTATTAGTCTATTACTGCCCAACAGCTACAGAACAGGTAAGTAACAGGCCTCGGACAGTCTTCGTTCATATTTACTGTGATCTAGTAGCAGTTGGCACTGTTCTCCGCAGATAGGAGAACGCACCAAAGAACTGTTTCTCACTGAACTGTTTCCCACGATTTTCATGTGTATGCTATTCTTTATAAATGTTTGTAATCTACTTCTAATGTGTATACTTCATATAAGTACTCGCATGCAGAAAGAGCATGTTTGAATTTTTGGGTCAGCATGCTGCTTGCTGAGTGAAACAGCTGGGTTTTCCTGGGGGCAGATGGAAGGGGTGTCACAGGCCAACAAGCACTGTGTGAAATGGGGTCTAGCACCAAAATAGCTGTTCTGGTAGCAGCTGGGAGGGACCTGCTGCAAGAATGCTGCAGCCTCACAGGATATACTTGAGTTCATGTGCAGATGATTACAGTTGCAACTCCATTTCTTAAAAACATACGTGGCATGTGAAAGTGTTGCCTGTTTGCTTTCCTGCTGTGTGGCAAGGTTAGTCACCTTTGGCTTTGTCTGATCTAGAGTTACCACACAACAAAAAATGCAAGTTGAATCGATTGATGGTTAATTGAGTTTGCCTGTGAACCCAGCTAGAGTTGCAACACAGCAAAGGACTCTAGGTCAGGCAAGGACTAAGCACCAAAGTGATGCAGCTTGGGAGAGCACAGCAATCTCCTTCCTCCCTGACTTATGTGACTAAACCCAGCATACTAAAATAAACACACACCTTTCTCTATCCCATCTAGGGCGTTGGCAGGTTATATTACTGGGTGGCCTGTATCAGGACCTTAGATACAACATATAACAATTGTGGGAACACAAAATTGTTTTCTTGAGCAGTATGCCACCTGAGTAGTCTGTGATGTGAAGAGGCCGGATGAAAGGCAGAGGTTCTATTCTTTATTCTGAGTGTACGAAAAGCTCGTGACCTGTCCCCAGGGAATTGTTTAACTTGTAAATTCTGGTTTCAAGGGTAAAAAAGTCTTTACAAAGCGTTTCAAGTTACTAGTTTCAAAGGTTTCTCTTCCTCACTCGAAAAGCCTTGTAAGGTATCTTAAGATATGCTATTGTTTGAATATTCAAAATTCTAAAAGCTGCTCATGTCTGTATGGATTGAAAAGGGGACTTATTTGGTACAGAAAATATTTTATTTATTATGTATATAAAAATTATTTTAATATATATTTAAAATATATATTTTTATATTATATTTTATTTATTTAGTAGCTGGGGAACCTCTCTTGAGTTCTAGATCTTGAAATGACTAAAATCCTACATAACCAAGGCTAAGAGGTGAGGTTGAGGGAATGTTTCGTAATCAAGTGACATAGTTTATTTCTACCTGGACTCTACAGAAACGCATTAGAAGTTGGAACTTTCAGTGCTGTGCATCCCAGTTTCATATATGATATAGTGAAGAGGTGTTTACCTCTTCTCCTGGAAATCTGTTGAAATATTTTGCAATAACTTGTGAAATTTTGCAAGTTTAAAATGGAAAGTAGGTATTAGGTTTGAGTGGTGAGTACTTCCAGTGGCTCCTTCCTTTTCAGGCTATGGCATTCTTCTTTGTTTTAACTTGTAGTCTACTCAGATAGCGATATTCCCTGGGGCTGGGAGTTTGAGATTCATTTCAGTAAAGAGACTTCAACCTGTCTGTACTTCAGCTACTTAGCAGCAAGTATAGGCCACTGAAGCAGGGCGTAATTAACATCTAGAGTACGGTTGTGTTTTAGGTGGTAATTAAACTTCTCAAGTACAGACAAAGCTATGCTCAGAGTCAGAATGTCATATTGTTAGCTGCAGTCTGCTCTCTTAAAACACTGTTTTTGTGTGTGTAACAGTGTGAGAGTTACTTTGTGCTTAGCAAATGGGATTATTTTCTCGCTTCAGCAGAAAAAGCTTTGTGCAGAGGTAGCTTTCAGCCTGCTCTGATTTGCCATATGGTACTGCAGCCCTGTGTGCTGGCAGGGCAGGGAGGATGCCATCTCAGTGGTAAAGCTGTAAGCTTGTGCTTTTAAGTGGTGAGCGACTGAGAAGAAAATAGGGCTTCAGGATGCCAGGAAAAACAGTTAACTTCTCCGAAAGCAACAGTGCTTTCAGGTAAATAGCCTCTTCGTAATTCGTTCTTAGTTGTACTTTTTTTTTCAAAAGCCACTTAGCACTTCAAGCTGATTAAAGGTGTGTTTAGGGGAATGTAGCTATCTCTTAAAAATTCTCTGGTAGCCCCAAAGAAAATGTGGATTGTTCTACTGTCTGCTTAGTTTGGGGCAGGAGGGGAACCCAGCTAGCAAAGCACTGAGCAATAGAACTGCACTTTTCTCTTTTCTTTAAAAAGAACAAAAAGATTTGGATAATAAAGGGAGCTGTGAAATCTTAGGCGGATACAAAGAGCACCTAGTAGAAACACACTGATAATGAAAGTAGTGGTTTAAGAAAAGAAGAATCAACAGTCTGATTTTTAAAGTTTATAGAGGAAAAAAATTGCATGATCCTGAAAGATAACTTAAACATTGAGTGTCAAATTTATATATGAGAAATAGAAATGGTATCACAGAATGGGATTCTGTAGGGTCACAGCCTCATCTAAGCATGGTCTTCTGCATGTATGTGGCATGTTCCCCCTTCTCTTGTGCTAGTTCATGTGAACACATTGCTAAAAGCAGAGTATGCTGCCAGTTTTCAAGGCAGGATGGACTGAAATCTGTTTTATATAGCTATAGATTTAAAAAAAAAAAAGTTACTCTACAGGATGTGAGTATTAAGGGTTATTAAGCATAGTTTTTTTTTTTTTTTTTTGGTTAAGCTCATGTTAGCTACAAACGGAAGGAAAATCAGTGGTGGAGGTCCTGTGCTATGGAGCACTGAAGTTTTAAAAATCTCAGTTGACATAATAACTAAACCTTAACTCCAGGAATCGGAGTGCTATGCAGTGACACAGCTCTCAAACGAGTGCCCCTGCAGCTTGGTAATACCCTGTATTTGGTAGTGTTTTTAGTATGTGACATCTCTTTGGGGTCTTGTCAAGGTGAACTGTGTTCCTGAGGCAGTCATATGTTTTGGGGGCTAAGAAGGTGTTCGAGTTCCTAAATCACCCGGCTGGAGTACATCTGAGGAAGTAGAAGCTAGACAAGAGCTTAATTGTGCCCCACTTTGCATATGCAGTGCTATAAATTTTTCAGATGTGCAGTGAAGCTTTTCTTCCCACTTGAGAAAATTTGCTATGCCTATTAATCTAAAATAGTGCTTTGTGTGTCACTGTTTTTTGCATTTCATGTGTCATAACCCCCTCTGCCTGCCCCTGTAAGGACAAGCTTTTGAAAGGTAGAGAGTCCATGCATGTAACTTCCTAGATTTTTAGATGAGGAAGTATGTACAAATGAAAAGCTGTTAAAGGAGGGTGTAAAATAGCTTAACTAAAACAAACCTGAAGGTTTAAAAGTCTCTTACCATCATTGACGATTTCTTTCTTAGGCACCTCCCTGGGCGTATATCGCTTGTGCGTGTGGCCTTTTCATTTACCAGTCTCTGGATGCTATAGATGGGAAACAAGCAAGAAGGACAAATAGCAGTACTCCATTAGGAGAACTTTTTGATCATGGCTGTGATTCACTTTCCACAGGTACTGTCATTTTTAATTGAAGTATGAGGGTTAAGTGACTCTATTTTAGGGGTCAAATCTGGAATACAGAAAAGCATTGCTTTACCTGCTGTTGGAGAAATGGACAACTGGTATTGCTGACTGTGTAGCTTTTCAGGCAACTCTTGTCTGCATACAGTACTCTTAATGAACTGCATATGACCTTTCTTGTATTACATAGTCACATCCTTAATTCATTCAGTGTCAAACTTGGTCTGAGCCATCAGGTTTCTGTGTATGCTTTATCACAGTGCTAGTTATGAAAACTTACTATAAGAAGCACTCAAAGTGCCCTTCCATTTTATTTTCAGTCTAACTTATGTAGAACAATTGCAAGATCAGATATTGAACCTAAGGAGTGGGACAGTAGAAGTCCAAGTTTAAGACTAGTATGAGTAAGACTGGTTCCCTTAAAGGTATGTAGAGTCCAGCCAGCCAGCTGGAAGTTTAGCCCCTTTTGAAAAGAAGAGATCAAATTCTTTGAATTACTTAAATTCTGAAGCTCTTATTCTTCAAACTTTTATAAATACTTTTTTTTTTTAATGCAAGAGAAATTATAGAAACCTTATGACTCTTGAATGACAGACCTTAGATTTTTCTCAATGTTGTGAGAGCGAAGAAAACGAGGAAAAACATGCCCAATAAACCTTAGATATTTGCGAAAACAAACTCTGGCCGAAGACTGTAATTCCATAAGTTGCTGAAGTTCTTGAGATTTAGAAAGGCATTAACATCAATGAAAACTGAGGGTACTTTGAAATCCTCAATACTGAGGACTTCTGACAACTGATAAGAATTTAAATACACTTTTGCGGTTTGTGGGGATTTTTTGTTTTTTAATTGAAGCCTTAATCTCAACATCTATGAAATAAAACACATGAGGATAATTTCATAGTCTTTCCTTTTCCGGGTCCTTTGTTAGATTTGATTCAGGTAAGGTTCTTTACACGCATGCACGTTTTATTTTTTTTTTACTGTGTGACTGATTTTCTTCTGCAGTCTTTGTGGTTTTGGGAACTTGTATTGCTGTGCAGCTGGGAACGAACCCTGACTGGATGTTCTTTTGTTGTTTTGCTGGAACATTCATGTTTTACTGCGCGCATTGGCAGACGTACGTCTCTGGAACGTTGCGCTTTGGAATGTAAGTAACCTGTCCGAAAGTAAAACTGAAAGTTATGCTGCTTTCCTGTCTAGTTCATTTTTATGAAATTGTAGTTAAGAACCTTAGAGTAGTAAATTGTTTGTATTCATGTATACATGCATATAGCTTGTGGAAGCTATTATATGTTGGATCCACAATTAATATGGAATGTTACTTAGCTTGGGTTAGGAGTGGAAAAATACTCTTTTGCCCTATTACTTAATCAGGAGCTTATGATTTGAATTTGACTTAAATAAGGGAAAGTACATGGTGTCTCTTCCCCAAGAACTGAACGCTTTTATCAGATGGTGGCAATCTGGTTTTAGTTATTAAGTTAAACTCCTACTTATCGCTTTACACATCCTGGCAAGTCAAGTGATATTGTTAATTCTTACTACTAAATACAACTCTTAATATAGTCTGTTAATTGACATTGTGCCTGCAATTTAAAGCTCTGAATCTCTTTTAGTTAGTGTAGACTCTAGTTCAATGTTGGGACCAAAATTGCAATTCCGAAAAAGGTCAACAGCTAAAGTCTCATTGGTGGGTGGGAGTTCGTGAGGGAACTTATCACAATGAGCTGTGAGAGTCATTAGCCTTAATGTGGAAACGTATGTTTTGTTCTAACAAACGTATTTCAGGTAAATATACTATGGAGTGGTTTTTGCATCTAGAAACCTCTGAAATTTGACCTTAGTTTGTATGGGATTTTGAAACAATTCTACAAGATGTTGTAATAGTATTCAGTGTTTACTGGGGGGAGGAAATCGAGAACCATATTCTAATCCTGATTACACCAAAGCAAAAATACAAGTTTCTGTCAATTCTCTGCTATTTTATTGTTAAAAGTAAAACATTTGGCTCAATTTATGTATACTTTAGGTATCTTACCTTCACACCATATTGAAGGTCTCAATGCCTAGTACTTCTAGCTTCCATTGAACTTTATGGGGCCCTAATAATGAAACTTTTCCAGTTATTGATCAGAGAACCAAAAAAACTTTGGCATGTGCTTGACTTTACAGGTGCAAGTATGAAACTACCTGATTTGCCTGTGTTCTCCAGACAGATATGTACATTACTACTGGTATTCACTGCAACTTTTTCATGTGGTGATCTCTATTTTGTGAAAAGTCTTTAAACCTGGAGACAGTGTTTTGCAGCAGACACATTGTTATGCATGGCTTTATATTATGAGGATTTGACTCATCAATATGTCGCTAATGTAGAGAAGGTAATAAGGGCACAGAAGCATGCGTATCATTATTTGAGATATCAGACAGCGTTGCATAGTAAACACATCTGTTTCATTTGCCCTGTGTCATAAGGTTAATAGACTGCCGCAAGCTGACATTCATTTCTATGGCAAAAACTCTAATTACTGATTATTCCTGTAAATGATTCTCACTGATATTAAGTGTGGTGAAACAAAAGCTTCAAAAAACCTAAAACGAAAGCCTGTATTTTACCTGCCCTTTCAGATCTGCTGGGGCATACAAGTTTATGGTGGTATTGCTCTTGAGTAAGTGGAACTGAAGATGGCTATTGAAGGGAGCTGATAAGTAGCTAGTGTGCAGGAACTCGTTCCTGTCTCTGTGTGCTACGTAGTCACTCTATGTCAAAAGTAGACAGAGGGGGCTATGAAAAGTGGTGATGTTACAGGAAATGTGATGGCATTTCTAACTTGCCTTCCCTTCCAAAAAAGCAGGAAAGGGCATGCAGTTGGTGACTGCTTATTGTATGCCTGTGATGAGCTGGTGTCCAAGAAACTGTATTTCGTTATGGAGATCGGCTCAGTAGGTAAAGTGAAGGGGGCTCGGAGAAGAGCAGCAGACTGCTAAAGGGCTTGATGAGATCAATGTTTTAGTCCTTATACACAGTTTAAACTTGAAGAGTTAAAGGTATAATCAACTTGGCTTGCTGAGAAGTCTGTCTTTCTGAAAAAAAAAAAAAAAAAAAAAAAAAAAAAAAAAAAAAACCCAAAGCCCAGCAACAGACCTTAGCATGTCAAGTTTAGTGCACTGTATCCGCAGAGCAGGAGCGTTCACCCTGAAGGAGGAGAAAGTGGGATTGCTTCTGCCAAATTCCTACAGGGTATTGCAGGTGGAGAAGGAAAGCTGTTGGTTTAATTGTGCCCAGTAGTTGAATATACTGACTGTTCTGGTTCTTTCTCCCTGCTGGCAACTGCTGAGCTGTCCTGGGCTGCTCTGGGATTACAGAATAATCACCTGTGATAGTAAGGTCTCAGTGATCTGTCTCTATCTTTAAATAATCATATACTTCTATTAGATCTTGGCAGCAGATACAGACCTCTTGAAAAGCAACTTGAATTGTTTAAATAGCTCAAATATTAGCTAGAGGTCAGTGTTGCTTAAAAATCCACAGTGAGGAAGCTGGAAGTATCCCAAAGCAATTTGAGTATGTTACAGTAAAAGTCACTATAATATCAGCAGTGCAAAGAGAGCAGGAAGCACCACAGTGAGAGATAGAAGTTGTTTTTTAAAAATTTTTTTAAAGAAACAAGCAGCCCACCTGGGAACAAGTTTATGAAAGAGCAGCATACGCTGCACACTTAAAGAAGCAAAACAGTGATTCTGAGTTGCACAAAAGCATTCAATATTGAAGCAGTCCAAATGAATTACTTTGTTTTCCTGCCTTGTTTTTCAGCACAGTAACTGGCTTATCTGGCTTGTGAATTACCTGTGCCACGATACAGGATGAGCTGTGTTTCAGGCCTGGTCTTATATGGGTGCAGCTGTGCTGTAATCGGTGCATCTCTGGTTTGCAAACAGTGCGCTCTTTTGCACAACATAAAAATTGAGCTGTTAAGCCCAATTGGATTTCCACATACCCATGTGGAAGCAGATCTGGTATTTTAGGAAGACGATCCAGGATATGAAACACAAACCCTGGAAGGAATTTGCCTGCAGTCAGCTGAGTCCAATTGCGATTATTAGCTGTGATATTATTAGGTGTGATTATTAGTTCTTCCTGGCCCAAGCTTGCTCCACTTGGTTTCACTGCTTCTGTACCTCCTTGTTGTGCTAGCTTCAAGGAGTGTATTAGCAGCTGTCCCTGTGTTATGTAGGTTCAGTAGTGTATCCAGCCTTACAAGCTCAGTGCAGAGACGGTCTGACTCTCACTGTGAGAGTCTTAAATCCAGTATAGCAAGCAGCGAACCTAGAGCTGTTAGGCTTCGTAAGATGTGAACTGGCTTCCGCGCTGCAACTTGATTGCTGTCTTAAGAGAAGTGAGCCACGGTGCCCCTGCCACTGGGTTAGAGCTGTGCAGGCACAGTACCTATAGCACAGAAACAGAAATGAAGACAATGTAGAATTGGCTGTGCTGGGTTGGGGGCAGTGCTAAAATCAGACTTATAAAAACCGAGGGGACCCATCAGGGCTCCACGTGAAGACATGAAGATGTGGCTGCACTGTGAATTCCAGCATTTGTTCCCCTTATGAGTTAATGCATTATCTTGTTTGTTCCAAGTTTTCTTTAACTGAGATGATGGGAAGTTGGCAATCATAGTAATCAAAGATGTATATAGACAAACAGTGAGATGGAAATTAGTTTCTAAGGGTGCTTCATAAAGCTAGCCAATGAGTTACAAAATGTGATCTTGAAGTATTCGTAATTAAAGGTTTGGATAGAGGATGTTGGCAAACATTAAGAGGAAGGAATAGTTTTTAGCAGGACTGAAAAGTTGCAAATACTACTTTACTGTTTGAGTAATAGTCCCTAGTAAATAATAGTCCCTAGAGAAAGCAGAAGAGTTTGAGCTATCTAATGGAACAGCCACTGTTGAGGAATGTTGGAGAATCTTGGGGAACATTCCTGTTAAATGACACTGTAGCAGTTGTACGTGAGCAAGGGCCCCCTTGATAAGAGTGGTTTGGGAAGGGAAGAACACTAAACTGTCTAACATTGAGCCCTGCAGCCAGTACTACTACTGAGGTATAAGAGAGATAGTAAATGAGGATATGTTTCAGAAAACAACTAAACCCACACCTTTTTCTATAGCACTTTACAGAAAAGGAGGTAGTTTGTCCTGGAGAGGCAATTTGCACCAAATCCCAAAATACATAGGTAGAAGCCTTCCAAATTAGGGAAGTTTAGCACAGTGAGTGCTTCCTCTTGGGAGCAGTTTCAGGATCTCAGGATTATGGTAGGAGATAAGGCAGTAATCTGTATAGTTATACAGTTTAACACTTTCCTTGTTAGTTCTTCAGCGGTTCTTGAAGAACTTTAACATCTCTGTTATTTGCACGGGAAAGTTTGAAGTTCAGCATGGCCTCTCTTGATGTCAGGAAGGACTTTGTTTCTCTACGCTTGCCAAAAGTATGTGTTGAGGTGTAACTGTGATAGGTGTTAAGTTTGCTTGCAGTCTGTCTTCCTCTGTGTACTTCAGTTACTCATTGCCACCTCTCTGCATTTCACTAGTGCTTCATGTGTGTTTGTATTATGTAGAAATAGGAATAAGGGCCTTGCTGCAGTATAATACATACAGCTGAAATTAATGAGGGCTGTAGTAAACCGTAACGGTTGTCTCTGTCATGATCCTCCTCCTCTGCTTCCCTTCCCTCTTGGAAGTCCTTTGGCAAAATGTTTTAAACCAGGAACCAAGCAATCATGTGCTGAGATGCTGCTGCTGATTTTTTTTTTTTTTTTTTCCTTCTGCTGTTTTCATTGAAAGATGTTCTTACCGCTGTGTGAAGCTGAGCTCCAACATGATAGACACAAGCTTTCCCCTATTTATCTGGTCTACAAGACTTTTAATCTACCTTAATGAGCAGCAAAAGGAAAAATTGGCATGTCAGCTGAAGTGTATTACAAAAGGGAAGGGAGAACAGCTTCTAGTTGACTTTTAATTTTGTTTTTTACCTAGAGATGAATTTCCTGTAACTGGAAATAGTTTTAATTCGGTGAAGCGTTTCTTCCTTCTGTGCAGTTTGCTTTATTAATACTATTTATGTATATCACTGCATCCAAGTGAGAATGCTGGTTTGGAATGATTTAAGATTAAACTTCATAATAACCTTTAGAACTAAGCATTTGGACTTCTAACTTGTGACTTCTTAGCTTTTTTTCTCTCATGTGATGATGAACACTTTCTCCTTGGTGCAATGATTCCTTTAAGAAAACGATCTTTTGTCTCGTGCTCAGATTCGTAGTTTGTTGCCCAGCCTGAGTAATCCCACTTGCGCGCTTGGTAGATGTGGATAAGACAGACAGAATAATCATCATTTCTTGGACCAAAGTGCTGCTGCGTGGAGTACTAAATAATAAACATAGCGCCCCTTGAGTTTCCAAGCCTCACAACTTCTGTTTTCTGATAAGGTGAGGGTGTCTTTTCCTGCTACACAGGAGCTGTCACAAGGACTTCTGTGAGTTGAGGAGGAGGATGCATAAAAACCCCTCTTAGTGTCACAAAGTATTAAAAAAAAAAAAAGTTGTGTTGTCAGCTGTATCAGTAGTGATTGACTTGATTTCAGAGCAATCTCCAGTGTAAGTATCTGTTTCCCAATGTTTTTGCTTGATTGACCTTCTCAGAAAATCTCTTACGTTTGAACTAAAGCCTTTTAGTTCACCGTTTTGGACAAGGAAAGAATTGACTGCAGCTGTCTCTAGGCTTTGAAACTCGATTCAGCAGTAGCCATTTTCAAGTCTAGTGTCTTGGCTTGTTTAATCAAAACAGGATGTTTTAAAAATTGCATGTTGAATATGCTCAATAAATTAGCATTGACAAGTGTGTGTTCTTCATGCATGACTAACCAGTTGCATGTTGACTGGCTCAAGATGTTTACTACCTTAGCAAGGGAACGTAGCAGTGTGAAAAGCAAAGCAAATAGGAGTTGCCACTGGCCATGTTTAAGTAAAGTTAAGCACATGCCTAGGTTGGTGGTCCCCTTTTAATTTTTCCTGAATGTTAAAATGTAGCCACGTCCGAATTACAAATATCGCTTATTGAGTAACGTAGGAAAAAAGAAAATTCCAGTGTCCAAAAGTAACAAAAGTTAGCTGTTGTCAATATATGCAACTTTCTCTTCCTGTAGTCCCTTAAAATATCTAACATTACCTTTTCTAATTATGTACTGTGTATGTGATGTGATAATTCAAATGATTATCAGACTGAAATTCAGTGTACCATGTCACTGAGCATGGGACTGTACATCATACTACACTTTTTTAGAGCTCTGACAGTGCAATTATGAATGTTGTTTCTCTTTTTAATTGATTGGCGTGTTACTTGATGGCAGTCTGCATGCTTCTGTTAGAACATTTTGATAAGTTCTTGCCTTAAACAGGATCTCTGTTATGGCTGAATTTATTTCTGAATCTTTTTTTTTTTTAAACTAGGTGAATTGATGTAAGTTTATTTTATAACTAATTAAGTTTAATCTAATGCTATAAATCTGTACCATAGCATTAGATGTCGGGTGAAAAATAAATGTATACAGGAGATATAGTTCAGTTACCACTGAATCAGGGTCTGTAGCTCCCTTGCTTTAACGTTATTTTCAGAGAAGTCAAGGAATTAAATGAGCATGGAGATGTGAGTCCGTGCCCTCTCTTGGAGGTGACTAATTGAAGATGCAGCCAGTGAAGCCTGAAGAAGATTGCATTGTCATCTACATGTCTGTTCTACAAAAAATAGGCAGTAGCATCTTTGTATGGAAAAATCAAATATTGAGCGTCATTCAGAGGCATGAGCCATGGGTTAGGAAGATAAGAGATTGAGTTGTGTATTTGATTATAGCTTTTATTTGCTCCGACCTGGAGCAAGGAATTCCACGCTGCGTTTCCTCATCTGCAAAACGGTGATTATACTTGCTCACCTGATGGAGTTGTGCTGTAGAACCGTAAATTGCATAAGCTCTATATGGAGTTTTGAATGTGTAAAATGCTACACTGGTGACAATATTTTTGTCACACTTTTAATGCTCTATTTTTTTTTTCCTGATCATTAATTCCCCTTTTCTGCCCTTTAAATTATCTCATAGTGAATTTATAATGCTCTGAGTTGCCCATATTTTGTTCTAATGGGTTGAATTAGCTGAAGCGCTCAGTAAAATGTTTTGAAATGTTTCTTTCCCTCATGCATAGATTTGATGTTACAGAGTCTGTGCTCTGTACAGTAGTAATCCAGCTTCTCTCAGGAACTCTGGGGCCCTGGTTCTGGAACTATACGGTAAAGTGAACATTAATGCTACCCAGCAAACAACGGCATGGACTAAGAGACAGCACCTTTGTCATGCACGTAGTAACTGGCATATGAGAAGCATCCTTCTAAGGGTATTTCACAAGTGCTCCAAAACGAGGGCAGAGAAACAGTTACAAAGTATGAATGAACATTAAAAATCCAGTCCAATTGGAAATTGGTTTTGAAAGCATCAAAGCAAAAGACTGCTTGTTAAACAAAAGTTTGTTTTAAATGTGTGTGGGTTTTTTTTTCTTCTGCCCCGGTTCTGGCATCACCTAAAAGATAACCAGGGCTGTGGAAGCAGCTCTGTAAGTGTGGGTCTACAATAATTCTGTTGGAACTGCTCTTTAAAATTGGAGAGATCTCTTTCAAAAGAATTTAAATACCTTTCCACCAGAAAAAAGAATTGCTCGGCTAGTTCATGGAATCGTATGCCATGCAATAGCTTAAGAAGTTGGCAGTTATTGGTTGGAAGTAGCTGTTTTGACCTATGTCACTTTGTCCTCATAGCCTAGTCATTTAACTGTGCTTCGAGCTTCATTGTTGAGTAACTTCATTTCCTGGTTGTCTTTATTTTCAGAATAAAGACTTTTCCTTCTGTCTGTGCTAAAGGTATCCTTTCCCACTCTGGTTTACCACTCTTCAGAAAGGACTCTCTTCCTTATTTCAGCTTTTTACATGTGGTATATGTAGATTTTCTTTTTTCCCCAGTAAAATGGTACCATTAAAAGTGAATAGTTTGGCTTCCTTGAAATTTCTCGTATTTGTTGGATTATTAGCTGGGAGTTTTCCTTGAAATATCCAGGGATATGAGAATAGCTTTTTAATAGCCTACTCAAAACTGCAATGTGCTTTAAGCAAAACTATCTGGAGATTTTGTGGCAGGCAGAGTGTTTACATATCTCTTATTAAATCTGCATTGCTGCAAATTATGCTGTTCTTTTATTTTTCATTTAATATTTCAGCATAAGCTCTGCTTTCAAGAGGCTATTAAAAATTCTTTAATTATTGGTTCTACTTTAGATCAAACAATATTAGCAATCTGGTATATCATGTTACAGCCACTGGCTCCGTCTGACGCGAAGTGAAATGTCAGTTGAGCCTGCTCTGAAAGTAGTCAAATGACATAATTTTTAAAGACAACATATGAAAGGCTGGAAATACTTAGTTTCAGGAAATGGTAGTGTTTCAAGCAATGACTTGAAGGAAGGAAGGGTTTAATCAAGATTTTAGCCTGTTGTGCTAACAACTTTCTGACTATGCCTGAGAAGACACTTAGTTTTAAAATGTTTTTCCTTAAGTACTGAGTCACAGTGTTTTTGGTGACAGGAAGCAACTTAAAATCTATAATGAAAGTGAATCAGTTAACAGTTTATCCTCGACCGCTTTAAGTCAGAGGGAGAGGAAAAAGTTCTAATCCTTTGCATAGGTAATCTGGAACCGATCGGCTCATTACGGTCTCCACCCTTGGAAAGGATGCCTTTGCCTTTCGTGGAGAAAGTTAGTTTCACAAATAAATAAAATGGTTGGTAAAACTGCTATGTGTAGTGGATGAGCTGGGCATAAGCATTTTTTCCACTTTTCTTCCAGTAGCAGAATGTTAAATATTTACTTATGACACTTTTCCCCACAAGCACTCATTTTAACCATTTCTTAGGCATACTGAAATGCAGAATAGATTTAGTTTTATTAAACGCTTGCATATGTAGCTTCATGTTTTCTAGCATCTTTAACTTCAGTCTTGACTACTAAATGAAAAGATGCTAATGCTTCCAAGTCATTCACCCAGAGCACAAAAAGCCTCCACTTATTTTGAACAGGTTGAGGTTGGGTGTTATAGATTTTATTTCAGTATTGCTTTGTTTATCCATCTCAAACTACAGGAAATATATATTCGTGCATTTCTTTAGCTGATAGAAATGCTTTTGTTACATGAAGTAGCTAATGAGGAAAGTGTAATAATAAATCCCCATTTTAAATACTAGATGACCTGGTAAAACACGAAGTGAATAGATTACAATTCTTGCAAAATAGGTGAACCTTATACTTGCATGTGTTGGGTACTAAGGCTTTTGTAAAGTCATCAAGGGGAAAAAAGGAGGCTCTTTTTTTTTTTTAAAAAAGAAAAAACAAACCCAAAGTTAAAACAGCTTTACTGTATTTTGAAATGTGAATGTGCAGAATTCTAAATAGCTTCAGTTCTGCAAACCTCTTTTTGCCCCTCTGCAATGTCACCATTTGCTTGTAACAGTGTAGTTTGACTCTTGCTTGTGGTGTTTTATCTCACGTTTTGGTGGTGGTTTCATAGACTAGAAGTAGGTAGTGTTAACTGTGTGCTAATGTGGCTTAGCACATTATATAATGCATAAAGAAGAATCGCAAATGAGGGAGTTGAAGATGTTTGAACTTGTAAAATGGTCAGACGTGAAATGTTAAAACAGTGTGCTCCCAGTATCTTCTATTGTTATAGAAAACGTAAGTGTAAAAAGTAGCGGGTAATCTATACTCGTGTTTGGCATGACAAGAAAGGACATACAATAAAATAGCTGAATATAATAAAAAGAGTAAATCATGTTGCAGTGTGTATAGTGCACTGCTTGCAGTTTCATTGCAAGAAGTGGATAATGTTTTTTGAAGATACACATGAGCATACTGCTGTCTTGTGAATTCAGATACGGAGCAAGGGATAAAATATGCATTCTAAAAAACTCGCAACTTTCATGCTCCCTCAACTTTATTTGAATGCAAATACTTAGATGTCCTCATTTGCAATCTTTAGTTCACGGTGGTAGCTGGTACAACACTAACGTTATTTGACCGAGTCCCTGCTTGCCATCTTTGGCTCTGCACAACTACTGTTTGTTATTCTTTCTTAACATCAATTTGCTGCAGAATCATTGTTTTTTCAGGGTCATGGTTTAAATGTTTTTTTTCTCAGCCTTGCAATTAAATGTTCTGTCTACACATTTTTAGTTTGTTAAACTACCGAGTCTAGGTTCTTTGTAGTTTGTCTCCAGTATCTAATCTGTCTTTGTTCCTTGATTCTTTGCCTGGATGCTCCTGGTGGTCGGAAAAACTTGATTCTGGGTCTTCTATTTATTTTCTAAAAGATGAAAAAGTCCCTGGTTTATTTGAATAAGAGCTCTTTGGGATTAAACGGCTTTGTGTCTGTTGAGGAACTGCTGCAATAAGTTTACGTCCATCTATTGTAGTGTCTCAGGAAAACAGTTTTTCATTTTCTTCATTTCATAGGTATTAGAGATCCGCCGCATGTTGTGCGTTGTCTCTGCATCATCCTAGCAACATAAACTGTTTGGGCAATGCTGACATGACTCAATTTGTCAGGAAACATCAGGCCAAAAAAACTGTCAGGTTAGGGGAAGTGTGGCCTAAGCGATTGCTGAAAATATCCCAGTTAAGAAGCTTTAAGAAATCTCCTTAATTTAGCTGCAAAACTTACACTGCTAGGCTTGCCCATTTGTTTTTCTTAGGATGTCCACTGTAGCACTGAAGCAAGTAAATAAATAAAAGCGCAAGGAGAAAATAGACTCAGACTTTGAACTGGCTGATTCCCTTCTTGCTTTGAAATATTTCTGCTTTCCTGCAGGTCTGCTTATGGTACCAGGCTGTTGGTCATGTTTATCTGACATGCTGACTTCTGCAGTAATAAAAAACAGGGCCTGTAGTACCGAAGACTTTTCCCCTGCTTTTGCTTTCAGAATGCTGTGGGGTTTTTTCTTTTTTTTTTTTTTTGCACCACCTATCTAAATGCATTCAAGCTAAAATATTTTTCACTGTTAGCCAATAAATGAGCCACTTCTCAAGTTTCTGGTTTCTATGGTGCATAGGAAAATGCACTTTAAATATACAGCAGAATCTTGTATAAAAATATAATTTACTCTCTGCAATATTGCAGAAGGCGTTTTTATCCCCCTTCATTGTGAATAACTTCCCTAATAGCTAAAGCAAGCTAGATAGTTTTCCCCAGAAGGTCAGTGTGGGCGATACAGAAGGGCTTTAGCCAGTCTAAGTTCAAACTGATCAAGCCGCTTTTCCCTGTTGGCCAGCTTTTTGTTTTGTTGTTTTGAGGTACCTTCCCAGTTCTCCCAGGACTTAAAACCAATAAGGTGACTGAGGTAGTTGATGGATCTTTTTATTGCTAGCAAATATTTAGCAAAAATAATGCCAAAAAAACCTAGCAAAGTGTGAGTTACTTCAGTAACTCATAAATGCAAGTTAATCATTAAGGCCAAGGAATAAACGGCCTCTAGATTGCCTGATATATGGTAACGTTTTCCAGGCAATGCTGTATGTTACCTTTTCATCTTTCTTAACGCAACCGTTGTTGCATTGCTTTTTAGTTAGTGTTCTTTCGTTTCATTAGTGTTGCGTTTTAAGGGCTGTCCAGCACTTTTATGAATGCTAGCAGCAGTCCGCTTGTGTTGCATTCGGAGGCCTTAATTTTCTTCCCATTTATTCCTCCTTTTACTTTGTTTTCCGAGCCTGTAGCCGCACAGTTGCTTTGGCTTAGCGCAATTTTGTTCTGCTGCCAAAAGAGGCAGTACAGACCTTTCACTGCCCTCTCCGTGGTGCTTGCATGGTTCATGAGCCTGCTCCAAATGGATAAGCCCATCTGCTGGAAACTGGGACAGGAACTTTTTTTTCCCCCTCCTCCCTTTTTTGGTTGGGTCATTTTAGCTGAGCCAATTTCCTGATGTAGCTGGTGGTATGAGACTAGTGCTGGTACTAGGGGGAAGGGACTCAGCAGTTGGTTTTTGAGGGGGCAAAAATGGTTGGCCTTTGGAGAAATGGAGAGGCTGGGATGGCCGTTCCTTTTAAGCGCAGCATGGGTTTATTCCAGATTACAATGTCTGCGCGACTACAGCAAAAGTTCCAGCTAAATGAAGAGAGGAATGACAAGCCTCCGCTCCCCTTGCGCCCAACTTCTCTTTTCAAATGTTGTTCTCTTTTGAGATCTGGCTTCGAGG